GCAGTTCCGGAGAGCAGTGCAGTTCTCGCCCCACCGCCGAAGTCTTCAGCTCCTCTAGAAGCAGTTCCCAAGAGCAGTGCAGTTCCCGGACAGCCGGTCGAGGCTCCACCGCCGAAGTCTACAGCTCCCACAGCAGTTCCACCGAAGAGCAGTGCAGTTCCCGTGGCCCCACCGCCGAAGTCTCGACCGCCAGGTATGCCCAGTGCAGCCGTGCTCGCTTCTCCTGTGATCCTGCAGCAGTCTATGGAGCTGCTGAAATGGATGATGAGGATTCTCTACAGTGGCAAGGACGAGGACTGGTTCGAGAACAAGGACTTGGCAGGCCCGATGTGTCAGGAGCACATCCTTTACGAAGCTTGGGAACGTGGGGTGGCGGGCCCCGATGGCACTTTTGTCCTTGGCGAGGATTGTCTGGCAGATGACTTGGAGAGTTTCTGTACATTTGTGTCAGAGAATGTGCCGGGGCTTCCGTCGTGGGAGACGTTGACGGGAGAAATGCTTGCCGACACTCAGCTTGAGAAGGAGGATGAGCAGCCTGCGTCGCCTCCGAACAAGAAGCAACGTCCGGATGAGGCGTCCACGGTCNNGCGAGCACTGAGCTTTCCATGACTGCGAAGTCAGGATCCAATCTCGATTTTTCCGTGCTGCATCAGGACGGAAAACATGTTCACACACGCCACACATATACACATACATATAATTCGTGGGGTCATGCAAGTTACTTACTAGTTCACAGTTCAGGTCTGCATGCATTTTTGCTTGTGTGTGCCCGGAGGAGCTCAGCCCGGCAGGCTGCAGTGCGAATGCTGTGGCCTCGGGCTCCGATATGGAGACGGCTGTGGAGCCCTCGAAGGGGCCTGTGCATCGACAGGCTTCGGTGACCTTGTCTGCCGATGCGGTGCGCAGTCAGGTGGCAGAGCAGGACGGACAGCGGCCGCCCCCGATCCTTCGCAAAGCGGCCGCGGTGTTTGGCGAGCAGAATGACAAGCTGGATGGCTTGGCGGCAGAGACACCCCCTGCTCCACGGAAGCCTGCTTGGAAACGACAAGTTGCATCTTGGACTTAAGCGGTGGGTCGACTGGCATGAGCTTTCTTGGGGAATCCTGTGCATATGCATGTTTGTTATTCACATGTTGGCTCAGGTTGATGCAGAGGCGCTGCCTCAGCTACCACCAGAGAAGATGGCGAAATACGACAGCTGGTGGAAGCAGTGGGGGAGAAGTTCATCGCGGGACAGCGATGCCACGATCGCCAGCTCTGCGACGGAGAGTGATGGAACCGATGTCATGCAGACGGTGCAGCAGATGGCTCCGGGACCTTTGAAATCGGCTTTGCTGGAAGTCTTGATGCAGAAAGAGCCTGTGCCAGCAGAGGTGCAGCCCCGCCCGGAGCCCGTGCAGGCACCTAGTGTGCCGGTTCAATCACCTGGTGTGCCGGTGCAAGCACCAGCTGCACCGAAGGTGCCAGTGTCGCCGGGTCTCGAGCCGGTGCCGAACAGGAGTGCTGCAGCAAGCGGGTGGGGGTGTAACTCTTCGACACATATGGCGGAGTGGAAGTGCTTCTCCCGTTTCTGCTTGAATAATCATGATCAGTGCAGCTCATTGTTCAAGGCATGGAAGAGACTCGTTTGCAGCCAAGCACGTATTCTCATGTGTGAACTCATGTTACACCCAACCCGGCCTGTGATCTGTGCCAATGAGGAGTGGAGGCGATGACAGGCTCGAAGCATTCCAAAAATGGGTGCTCAGCGGGGGCAACGGCAAGGCCGTTGAAGCGACAATGAGACTGCAGCGGACCAGCGAAGAGGCCCACAGCGACGGTGGGCGCTACAAGCCGTGGGCCTCGATCGTGGAACATTTCAAGGGCGACACCGACGAAGCCCTCGTGTTCGCTCAGAAGAGGAGGCAGGAGGAACGTGGGACCTCGACATGCAGAAACACT